TAATTAATTTATTTTACTTTATTTTATTTTATAGGATAAAAATCAAATATCAATTCTTTTTTGTGCAAATGCTACAGAAACTCATAAAATTCGTCCTCTTGTTAGGGGACTTACATATATGACGTAATTATGGGTTAATATAGGACTGGACCCCCCCCCTCCCTAGTGAGATTATGATATCATATGATCATAAATTTTGGCCAATCATCATTACGATTGTTACATGTGATTAGTATTAGTAGTTATCATGCGAAAAGATATGTAAAAAAATATATGTGAAATGAAATCAACCTCTAAGATCATTTTATTAATGCAGTATAAACAAAGTTAAGTTAGCACTATATACATACTAAATATCTTGGATTTGTCACACATAATCCAGTGCATTTTTTCATAAGAACACTGATTGTAAAGTTAATACCCATTGTGATACTGATTAATGCATCTTTTGCCTAGTGTACATTCTGACATTCGCTTAGTTAGAGATTCTTCGACTTTCCTATACCTAAAAATTTTAGTGTCAAATTATTTAATAAAATAAATGTATGGCTTACCTTGCCTTTTTTACTTCATTGTTATCTTCCTAAAATGATTTAATAAAATAATAAATTTAAGTGATATAATCTAAACAACAGTTTAAAATCACATTGTTCTTTCGCAAATGCGCATACGTGACTCGTCGACGAAATGACTCTGTCACGTCTATAGTGATCTAATCGCGTTTTTTATCGCCACTTTGATTTTCTTGTCCAAACTTCCTCAACATGCAGGCTTTTCTAACTATACCAAAATATAACAAGTTCTACATTTATAAAATCCCCACAAATCAACACCAGATTTTGCAATGCTTTCAGATATTATTGTATGGTGAATGCAAGAAGCCCTATATACCAAAAAGTAAGTTTATGTACAGAATGTACTGATGTGTGGAAAGAGATTTGGCATAAACCTCAAGAAGAAATTGAAAGTAAAATCCAAGAATACCTGACAACTCCAATTCCAATCCAAGGTTTTTTGCAAACTAATCATTCACGATCCAGCCCATCTCAAATCTCAAGGTCTGCTCAAGCCACCTGGACCTTCCAACAACCAATAGAAGAGATGATCGTAGCTGATACTAATCTACCTCCCAATGCAGCCGCACAGAAAAAAGTCTCAGAAACTATTAATACAACTAACATGAAGCTTGCAGAACTTCAACGAATTTACAATTCTACTAATGACCTAGAGACTTAGAATAACTTAGCAGAGCGCATAACAAATCTTAAGGAAATTTTATGCAACGAAAATAATAAGATTAAAAAATTGAAACATCAAGCAAGCTATCAATGTAAAAGCAGGGAAAAAAAGTAAAGCTTTTACAAGAAAATCAAGAAGTAATACAATACGAATCATCTGGTCATCCACCCTCTTTTGATTCAATATCCCAATTTGCATGAACATATACACGAATGTATCGAGTTTAGAGCTGCGGATAAAAAAAGAAGAAAAGAGGCTATTAAAGTTAGGACCATCCCCACCTTCAAGAAGAACTCAATTCAAAATATAACGAATACCTTTTTTGCATCACCCTCAGTAATTACCTTCTGCCATCTCGATCAAATTCTATAGCTGCAAAGGGTCATCACCATCCAGCTAATATTGCCATTGCCTCCGTTTCTCGAGATAAAAAAAAGAACATCCTGATGAACACTATTGTCTTGCATCTGTAAAAGGAGCAAAACAATTTGTGGCTTTATTTCTGATTCATTCTGTTATCATTTCCCAGGATGATAAAGCCAAGATTCCTCTTGGTATCCCTGCAGTCAGAAAAACTTTTCAAACTATGCAGAGTTTTCGAGAACTAGTTACATTACCTGATCACGATTTTCCAATTGGAATGCAGCAAAAGCTTATTCCATTGGTCTACTTGCTCATTAACCTAAACAATACAAATGACACTTTTTGTAATGGCCAACTTTCGATTTTCATACGTTCACAATACTAAGTTGGTACAAGCTTCACCTCTCATATGAGTGATCTGAATTCGTTAACAAAAGATAGTCGTTTTGATGAGATACTAAAAGTTGATGGTCAGATCAAACCTATTTGGATTCTGTTAGTTGATGGAGGCCCAGATGAAAATTCCCGTCATATGAAAAACATTCTCCAATATTGTAGAATATTTTGTGCTTTTGATCTTGATTACCTTTCTATTCGAACGCATGCACCTGGTCAATCAGCATATAACCCTGTTGAGCGTGGTATGGCAACACTCTCTCAAAAACTAGCTGTCATAACATTGCCAATCAATAAATATGGTTCTCATCTCAATTCTCAGGATCAAGTAATCAATTTAGAGCTTGCAATGAAAAATATGCGTTACACTGGTGAGGGCCACTCCCATCCCTATTTGTCATTTGAGTCATTTGTCAGTCATAATTATTTTGCAAACACTGTCCTAGAAAGAGGTAATGAAACATTTAACAATCTAATGGATTACTTTTTTTTTTGAATTTTCAAAACCTTATCATTTAATAGTCTAAACGAGATTAATTAAAAAATGCATTTAAAATATTAGGAATAATATTAGGAAAAGTAGAATTCAAGAAATCATATAAATATATAAATTGATATCAAATATAATTAATTACAAGCCAATCTTCAGATCAGATAATCATTGAAATCTGCTTCTAACGAAATACTAAAAGAATTATTCATCCAGAAGAATTAAATAAAAAATGTTAATAATGTGATTATTCAGTCAGTTGAATAGTTGATATATTAAAAACGAATTCGTTATGAGTGATGAACTTCTAAACAAAATTTACAATAATGAATAAATTAACACTTAAATCTTCGCGAAAAATAACTTTTGAAATGCTTAATAGTTCAGATGAAGAAAATGAAATTCTTGTAATAAAAGTGGAAGAGAAAAGAAAGGGGAATTCAAAATGTCATTTTGCTCGTGAATCACGGCAAATTTAGAAATTGACGAATGATGTTCTCTTTATATATATAAAAATATAAAAAATCAATCAAATTTCTTTAGGAATCTACAATCTCAACCTTTACTATGAAAAGCATCTAAAGCTATGTTCTACTTTAACAACAACCTAGCTACTTCGTATCACATGATACAGGCTATGTACAGGCTATGCAAAAATCGAACTCTCCTTCCGCCATAACGATTGTAATAAGAATCAAATAGAAGATTATTTATGATTCTGTATTTGGCGGTTTCCATAAAAACTAATAAGAAAATCAATTCAACGAATCAAATTTTTTGACTAAGTTTACCAATTGCTTTATTTGTTATTTAATATTAATTTGTTTACTTCATTTTAAAATTTATTAAATTAAACGAAGTTGTTTATTTTATGTGTTATTTTACTTATAAAGTTGGATATACTAACCTACATTTGTCAAGTTTTGAAGATTAATATTTTCCAAAATTGTTTGACTTATATATCCAAACTAAATGGGGCCCTGTATTTTCATCCTTAAATGAATACAGAATTGAACAATTCTTTTGTTGATTAAATCGTAAACCGTCTTCTTTCTAGGATGGTGTGATTTATGTATGTTGATAATCAAGCCTTTTGGGTGTAATGTACTAAATTAATGAAGGATTCTCTTTTGCTCCATTTGGAAAATAGTAGTTATCATTATAATTAAATAGTAATTTTATCGCTCTTCTTTTCGGATCATTCATTGGACAAATGTTGTACGAAAAAGATTGTCCAAGTATTAAGTTGCTTTTCTCAAAAAAGATTTCGGAATACATTTTGTTGATCATAGATATTTAAGGATTAGACGGAAGGATCATTGTTATGTGTATTTCAACCCCAGAATACAAAGAAGAGAAAAATTCGAATATTCGAATTTAAAGTGTTTGAAAATCGAATATCGAATTATAAAATCGATTTATGAATTACAGATCGATCGAAAATATAAATTTATTTATTTAATAGAGAAAGATACGTCCCTAAACTTAAGGAAATTGCTGAATGTAAGACCTCGAAACAACCATTAATTCTGATTCTCAATATAAACAAAATAAAAATGATATGAAAATAAATTCTTCCATAGTAAATTTTCTCACGGCGTAAATCATTAATTTACGAGTCTTAACTTTTAATGGACTATATCCGACAGATCTTCAAAGTATTTCTTTTTCCCCCTTTTATAATTTTTTTTTTTGGAAGTTTAAAAATGTCTTGTTTGGGATAAAATACCGATCATTGTCTGAGCATATATTGATATAAATGGATCAATTTGTCTCTTCTGAACACTTTAATTAATGAAAAAAATAATAATAAACATAATCAAAAAAATATTATGAAAATGATAAAATATTCAAGTCCATTATGTCAAGTAATAATTGTCGGTAAGTTATGACGTGAGATGCTGAAATTACACCCGCAAAAATTTTTTGTCGACTTTATTTTTTAAAATTTTTTTTTTTTTTTAAATTTACGTCGTTCGTAGGGATCGTATGTTTACTTACGTCCGGCATGTTCAATGCGTTGAACGGAATGGGAGGAGGAGGGCAACTTGACACCACGGTTGGGTCAAATGCAAATGTAGCATTATACACATGTTTTTCCGTAGGAGGTTTATTTGCAGGACCGATCGTTAATAAGTTGGGCCCATCATTTTCATTAATCATTGGTGGATTGACTTATGCTTTGTATTCGGGTTCGTTGCTTTATTATAATCACATCAAAAGTCAATACTTCACTGTGATATCAGGTGGCATCCTTGGTTTTGGCGCAGCTCTCTTGTGGACGGGACAAGGTGCCATCATGTTATCTTATCCTAACGAAGATGACAAGGGAAAGTTTATCGGATTATTTTGGGTCATTTTCAATATGGGCGGTGTTTTGGGAAGTTTGATCCCAATCGGTCTAAATTGGAACCAAGTTAACAGTGGGTCCGTAACTGATGGAACATATATCGCTTTCATGGTGTTGATGGCATTGGGTGCCTTTTTATCTTACGCTTTGTTGCCACCACATAAAGTGTTCCATCAAGATGGCAAACCCGTTATAATACAAAAATTTCCTAAATGGAAGGATGAAATTACTGGTGTCTTCAAATTATTTTTTAATTGGAAGATGTTGGCTTTAACTCCAATGTTCGTCGCTAGCAACTGGTTTTATGCCTATCAATTTAACGTGGTCAACGCGAATTTCTTCAATGTTCGAACAAGGGCCTTTAATAATTTATGGTACTGGGCAGCACAAATTGTAGGAGCCATCGTTTTTGGTAAATTCCTTGATATTACTTCATTAAAAAGAAAAAATAGAGGGCTCGTAGGATTACTTATATTATCAGTCTCGGTCATGGCAACTTGGATCGGAGGTCTATTCTTTCAATTAACGTTTACCAGAGCAGATGGTTTACAGAATGCTGATGTATATAGTAGCGGATATGCCAAATGGTTGATACTTTACATTGCATACGGAATAAACGATGCAATGTATCAGGTAAAAATAAAGTTAAATAAAATAAAAGAAAGAGATCATATATTTAATTCATATATTAATCGTTACGTGTATCCCATTTTTTCTTTTAGTGTTACGCATATTGGATTATGGGAGCTCTCTCAAACGACGTCAACGAGCTTGCACGTTTCTCGGGGTAATTTCGTTTTACCACATGCTAAAACAATATTTATTACAAACAAAATATTATTTAACCTTTCATTTTTCGTATTTGTAGTTTTTATAAAGCAATTCAATCCGCTGGCGCAGCAATTTCGTGGCGAATAGATACACTTCCGATTTCTTTCTTGCACGAATTATTAATTTGTTGGATATTGTTGGCGGTAGCCTTTCCAGGTGCTTTCGCTGTCGCATTAAAGATCAAAGAAACCAACAATGAAGTGAATGAAAAACCAAAGGTCAGAGAAATTAGTGATAGCAAGGACGTGGAGAGTTAGTCATTCAATGTTATATCTAAACCTAAACCTAATACTTCATATCAAGAGTGTTCGAGTAAATTATGAAAAAATAATAAAATAATATAATTTTTTGTTTATTACTTTTACGTGAAATTTAGCATCATGATGATTTTATTATGATTTAAATATTTCCTTTTAAAGAAAAGCATTTTTACATGATATATAAATTTTTTTTTAAAGCAATTCAACACAAGCAACACAAAAAAGGAAAAGTAATAACCAAAAAATTATTCAAATAACTTTTGCAAGTTTGTTAAAATACCCATTACCTCATTTGCTGTCACTCTACTTTTGGGATCATAATCCAGCAGTTGTTCGATGATCAATTCGATTATTCGCTCATTTATTCGTCTTTCCATTAATGGTATTTTGGAAATTTCTTTTTTGATGATCTTATCTCGTAACGCAGTTTTATCATATTTTTCATTTTCAAAAAATGGAGTTTGACCAGTTAAAAATCTAAATGATAAAATTCCGAATGCCCAGATATCAACCGGTGGTTTGTAAAGATCATTGATCTCGGCATTTGACGCGCGATGTATTTCTGGAGGGATATAAAGATGCGTTCCGACCTGTTCATTATCTCTTTCGGTTTCATTTTTGTAATTTTTAGCGACTCCAAAATCAATTAATTTCAAAACTTTACAAGTGTTGTCTGTCCACATTATGTTTTCTGGTTTTATGTCGCGATGCACGATACCTTTATCGTGTAAATATTTTAGTGCATCTAACACTTGAAACGATATATTATACCATTCATTTGGGCAAATTATTTTACGTTTTTGAAAATACTTTTCCAAATCACATTGCATCTTTTCTTGCCAAATTAATAATCGGTCCGGGTTATTCCCTATATGATATCCAAGAACTTTTATGATATTGGAATGATTAAACGATTCAAGTAGTTTGGGTTCTTGACACAGTTTTTCAAAGCAACTCTCAGAGACTTTCTTCGTTAAAGAAACGATTTTGCACACGCATTCCCTAGTTTCCCTAAGTTTCGTCTCATATGCAAGATATATAATAGAATGAGCGCCCGAGCCGATTGATTCTTGACAATTATTGAATCGGTGTTTTAAATATTCTGGGACCTCTATCGTTTTTGCTAATTTTCTTTTCTCAGTTTCATCTTGGAATACAAAACAGATCAAATTCTCCAAATTATCTCCCCTTCCGATTTTAACTTCATCTCCATTCCACAACCATTGTGTTTCACGCATTTTCAGTCTATTCTTATTGACAAAAGTTACATATTTTTGCGGGTTCATGGCTTTCTCCTGAATGAGAGTCTTCCAGCCGTGTACATTATCCTTTTGTAAAAAAATACGACAGTGAAATGGTGCAAGATACGTCTCGCTGCAAATGAATCCTTTACGACATGAGTCATCACTGCCGATCATTATAGATTTCTGCTTTTCCGTAAGTTTGAAATTATTTTGATGGCCGCGTCCCAGTAACGATGAAATGGTTTGTGAGGACATTATTAAAGAAAAAAAAAAAAGTAAAAAATTTTTTAAAAGGTTCAGGTCGAATTCTGATGCCAATAAACAAACATGAGTAAACAAAAGACAATTACGACTATATCGTTTTCTATTTATGGCAAAAAGAACGCATTCGAAAACTTAAAATCACTTTTCGTATGATCGATCACGTGTGATATTCCATGGAATCCGTTAATAGAATGTCGGGAAATAAGCAAGCCCGATTGTCATCATGCATCCCTTCCTTATATGGATGGTCTTTGTTGAATCAACCATGTGTAACAAATCAAATTAATTTCACACTCTTTTTTTTTGCTCAAAAATCTCGAGATCTCTAAACGTTTCAATCTTTTGTAAATCGGATCTAATACGTAACATCATGTTCTGTGCAAGTGAGTGTTCATATTCTCCAAGTAGTATTAAGTAATTTTATTTTGCAATTGAAATTTTGTTATGCTGATTTTTTAAAAAAATTTCAGTTTCTGGAGAACCTCCACAGGATCCTGTAGTTTCAAAAAAATCTGGACAGGTTTATGAAAAAAGGTTGATCATAAAGTATATTGCCGACTATGGTAAAGATCCGATCACCGGAGAAGATATAGAAGAGGGTGACTTGTTAGAAATAAAAGCGAGTGAGTTTTTTTTGTTTTTGTGTGGAGACAAATTGGACGTAATGATGATTTCCTTAAAAATAAAAATATAAACACAACTAGAAGCTGTTTCTGAATAATATTGATTAAAAAAATTTCTATCTGAGCTAAATTCTCAATTAATTAAATTTTTGGGTTAAATGGATCAATTTCATTAATGAATATTATTACTTTTTATTATCAGGTCCAAAGACTATAAAACCAAGACCTGCTACCTTGACATCAATTCCATCTTTACTGTCAGTTTTTCAGAATGAATGGGACAGTCTAATGTTGGAAACTTTTACCCTTAAACAACAATATCAACAAGTTCGACAGGAATTAAGTCATGCCTTATATCAACATGATGCTGCCTGTCGGGTAATCGCTAGGCTTATAAAAGAACGAGATGCCGCTAGAGAGTGAGATTATTTTTTCATGTCAATATTTTTTATGGTATGTGGCGCTTAATGATGACCGTTTCTTAATTACATCAGAGCCTTGGCCAATGTGCAAGCACACATTGCTACAAAACCTCCTCCAGAATCCCTTGCGACGGAAAGTCAACCAATGGAAATCGAAGAACAAGATAAGGGAATCAATGAAGTCGTTATTAATAAACTAAATGAAACTAGTGCCGTGTATGTATAATATTTATTTAAGATGCAACTGAATCTCAATATCTGAACTCACTTTTAACTCGTCAAATTATATAGTTTATCGAAAAATCGTAAAAAAAGAAAACCACCGCCGGAACTTACTTCGGTCGATGCAATTAAATCTTTTACACAAACATCATCATTTGGTTCTTTACATTCTTCAACCAAGCCTGGAATAACTTGTTTGGATGTTGATTCAACGGAACAATTAATCCTTACAGGTGGTAACGATAAAAAGGGATTTATATTAAATGAACAGAATGGTAAAGTGGCCGGTCAGCTAAAAGGGCACACGAAAAAGATCACAGATGCATTATGGCTTGGAAAACCTAATGAGGAAGGTTATGACACCGCATTCACCTCAAGTGCTGATAAGACCATCAGAATATGGCAAAAGTCCGGTAAAGATTACAAAACCTCGGCAATTCTGTCGACACATTCCGCTGAAGTTACCGGCATCGCGGTACATGCGACCAAAGATTATTTAGTATCCGTGTCAGATGATTCAACATGGGCTTTCCATGACATTCACACCGCTCAAACTTTGTCCAAGATCGAACCAAATGAAGTGACAAATGGTTACTCGACCGTTGAGATTCATCCTGACGGTCTTATCTTGGGAACAGGAACGAATGATTCAATAGTACGCATTTGGGACATTAAAGTGCAGAAGAATGTCACATCGTTTACCGGTCATACTGGACGGATTACTTCGATTTCTTTCTCAGAAAATGGTTATTATTTAGCTACAGCATCCGAGGATAATGCAGTCAAATTATGGGATTTGAGAAAGTTATTAAATTTCCATACTATACAACTTGATGAGGGAGCAAAAATCAATAAAGTCTGCTGGGATTATAGTGGTCAATACTTGGCCGTTGGTGGAACTGATGTTCGGTAATAATATATTTATTAATTACAAAATTACAAAATTTTTTTATTATTATTAATGATTATTTTTACATTTTCATTCTTTAACAGGATTTATCAAGCAAAATCATGGAATCAATTGGCAAATTTTACAGATAATACTGCTGAAGTTACAGACATGAAATTCGGTGAATTGGCAAAGATTTTGTATGTAGGTGGTCTAGACCGTACTTTAAGATTCTATGGTGTTGGGGATTCTGAAGAAGATGAATAAAATACAAATAGAAGATTTTCATAATATATATATATATTTATCACAAATAAAAATAATATTTCGAGAATAGTTTAGTTCTCTAAAAAAAAAATTGTTTTTTTTAAGATAAAACGACAATGGGTCGAATATTTTTACAAATGAATATTTCAATTTGGTTAATTTTATTACCATGTTGTAGTATAAAAAATTTAGATCCTATAATCTGAAATATTTGAAATAGTTAAATTTAAGTAATTGTAATTTCTCATATACTCAGAGAATGGACACTAAAATAATAAATAAAAAATAATAAATAATAATAACCTCCAATTTTTTTAAAATCATTGTTTTTTTAATGTGGCATATCACATCTACCGGGATTTTTAACACACCACAAAGGTTGTAGTGGTTCTGCTTTTATTCCTCTTGCTACCATTCTGAATCTCCAATCATTTAACCGGGGTAACGCTTCCTTTGTAGTGCGTAGATTGCCACTTTCATCATAATTACCTGACCACAAGATTTCAGCTGCCGATGATGCTCTTGGCCATAATTTAGATTCAAAATTTGTTGGATCAGCTTGTTCAGACCATAATAATGCTTCACCTATAAAGATGACGATTATTTTGAGAAACAAATCAAATCTAAAAGCGGAAATTTTAAATGTAACAGACCTCCTATAACAAGCTCAGCTTCCTCTTTCTTAAGACCTTTAGTTGGATTATAAGAATAAATCCTTTGCCAATGTTTGAAAGGGTCACACCTAAAGAAGAAAAATGAAAAATTTTAGGCTGAGAAATTTTCTAAATACCTTTTTAAAACGTACATTTAAAATATTTACCAACTGTTTCCATTAGGATTATCACCAACCCAACCACCATGACCACAATCCAAATACCAATAATCAGCACTACCAGTGATCACCCTATAACCAAGTTCGGTAACTTTTTTAATATTATCTTCAGTCGTCCAAACTTGAACAACAACATCTTTAGGTAAAGTTAAATTATGTTCAACAATCATTTCCTGCCATGTAATGGGAGTTTTACCACTTTTCCTAACAAGTGAGTGAAGTTCATTAATGAACATTCCCAATAAAGATTCGTAAGTATCGTCAGGGTGCTCTTTTAGGTAAGCAATAACAGATTCAGTTGAATTCCAACAATTCATCACTACTTCATCGCCACCAGCATGATAAAATTTATCAGGAAACCATGAAGTCATTTCTGGAATAAGGTTATTTAAGAATTCATAAGTCGCCGGTAATACGGGATTTATTTGACCACTTGGAGGAGCAGCGGCAAAATCATTCCAATTTGGTTGAACGTCTGGGCAAGTAATTATCTCGGGCATACTATAAGAGATGGCAAAAGTATGTCCTGGCATATCAAATTCAGGGATGACACGAATTCCTCTCTAAATGACAAAAAGAAAAATTTTTTATTACAATGATTTAAAAAAGGATTTCGTGATCTCGTTTGTATCTTACATGATGAGCGTATTCTACGATAGTTTCAATATCCTGTTTAGTATAAATCATTGTTTCTGGATCATAAGCTCCCTTTTCACTTAATTCC